GGGGTAGTAAGAGAAAATTACAAGTAGGAATAATGAAAACTTTTTGGAAGATTTTCTGAAGAATTTCATCATATTTTTCCAATGTCAACAAAATTTTTCTCTGTAATTTTGGCTCTACTTGGTCTTATGCCAATACTTTAAATCAGTTCTTATTAGAAGAAAGGAGCAATCAGCTCTGTTCTTTCCCTCTCCAACCCTACAACAACAATTCTTGTCCAAACCCTTAATTGAAACTGCTGAGGTGTAGCAGAAAGGGTGTTTGAATCCCAAGCCTGCCATGAAATAGCTCTGTGACCCTGAACTAGCTACTCAATTCTCTGGGCCTCCGTTTTCCCTTAAGTAAAGTAGGAATAATAAAAGCTTCCTCAAAGTAGTGTTCCAAGGATCATTTGTAAAAGCACTTTGATAAGAGTAAAACACATACTCAAAGGCATCGTTAGTGTTAAAAACTGTTACTGAATTATATAAGTAAGTGCCTCTTTCATAGCAACAAGAGCCATTTCCTTAAAATATTATTTTGAACCTGGAATTCCCTTTCTCAAAAGTTTATAGTGGCTCCATGTACCTCTTTAATCAAACTTACACACCTGATCTTTACCAACTGGACCCCTCCAGACTCATCGTTATACTTACATACCCGCCTTGAATTCTCCACTCAGCAGTTCCAAAACCTGACTCAGATTCTCTGGTTTGAGAATCACTACTCCACTCCACTCCACATAAGCTAATCCCCTTGTAGTCATTTCTCTGGGACTCTCTTCTTCATTCCCACCCAAATCATGAGCTCATTGTTTCAAGGAGTTTCTCTAGGCTCCAAATTCTAGTTCTACTGACTCTATTTAGTTTCTTTTTCCTTTTCATCTCTTACAATACTTCATTTAATAAATATAAATCTGTGGAAGTACTTCTCTCCCTCTTACAGGTACTAATACATTTATAGCCATTCCCATTTAAAATTATTGCTCTAATTTTGGATAATATATACACCATTACTAAGGGGAGTTTTATTGTCTTTTTGCCTTGCCAACACTTCAAAACCAAAATTTTAAAGATAGGTTTCATGTTATTTCCTATGCAAATTATAAAATGCACGTACCCAGCCAGCGTGGCTCTGCGGTTGAGCATCAACCTATGATCCAGGAAATCGAAGTTCGATTCTGGGTCAGGGCACATGCCCAGGTTTCGGGCTCAATCCCCAGCAGGGGGCATGCAGGAGGCAGCCAATCAATGACTTTCTCATCACTAATATTTCTATCTTTCTCTCCCTCTCCTTTCCTCTTTCTGAAATCAATAAAAATACAGTTTTTAAAAATGCAAGTGATTTTACATTTATATTTCAGATCATTCCGACAGCCCAGCCTTTTTTTTTTTTTTTTAATACACTTTAATCAGTCCACTAAGCAATCTGTTTCTGCATGTAGTTTTTAAGATACACAATATTTTCCTTGGCTCACTCATGAGCTGGAAAAGGCTTTACAGGCAGTCAATTCTCCTACTCCCCACAGTTATACTTTATAAAGTGACTACAAGTAGAGTTAGCAAATACTGAACCATTGCTTCTAGGGGAAATGCAGGGTTAGGTTCCTGCAGGCCTCTGTTCACATTTTCATCAACCAATCAATACATAACCTTGTTTTATGTGTTTCTGTTTAAACATACCTTATTTAATATATGTTATTGATTCGTTAACATTGAACTCACAGCCAACAGCAAGCACTATAACTCATCCTGAACAAAAACTACCAAACATACAAACTTTCTCCATAAGAAACATCACAGCATTTTTGCACTTTGCATCATTAGACAGCACTTCAGCACTACACTTGCAAGCCAATTTTAAACAGAGAAATTACCAACAAAAGCACAAAAACAAAACAAACAAACAAAAACATGGCACTAACTAGACCATGAAAAGGATACTTGTTTACAAAAGTAGTGTGGCCTTGATCAACCTCAGCAAGAAACATGCATGCTGTAGCTCAAATTTTTCACCCCTCTACACATCCATAAATGACTGCAAAAGTTTCATAAGTATTGATTCTGAACTACAAATACAATTTAGCAAGTACAGTAGTCCCCATTACCTGTAGGGGATACATTCCAAGACCCCCAGTGGGCCTGAAACTGCAGGTAGTACCAAACCCTATATATAATATATATATATATACATTTTCCTATACATATACACCTTTTCACTTAAAGGAAGCACTTTGTAGCTTCCCTTTAGTGTATGTGAATTACCAACATCACTACTCTTACGTCTTGGGGCCATTATCAAGTAAAATAAGGGTTACTCAAACACAAGCACTAAGATACTGCAACAGTCATTCTGATAAGCAAGATGGCTACTAAGTGATTAACTGCTCAGTAAGTGTATACAGACAGCATGCATACACTGGAAAAAGGAATGGTTCCCTTCTTGGGAGGGACAGAGAGGGACAGTGTAAGATTTCATCATGCTACTCAGAACTGTGCACAATTTAAAACTTATGAACTGTTTATTTCAGGAATTTTCCATTTAATATTTTCAGTCCGAAGTTGACCATGGGTAACTGAAACAACAGAAAGCAAAACCGTGGATAAAGAGTACTACTGTATGTGCATTCACAAATATAAAATCTGTGAATAATGAAGACCAATCAAATCCTTTACTCTGTAATTCTCCAGTGGTGTCTGTATTCTGAATGCCATCAATACCAATTCCATTCTGTTGTCTAAAGAATAAACACTACTTTAGCAAACTCTCCTGCAAGTCACAATACAGCATGCTACAGAAGGGTACTTATACACACAGGAGGAGCAGAGAATGTTCAACCATTCCTTCAGTAATTACGGAGTACTCTGCCTCCTCCCACTTTGTTGGAGGTGTCCAACCTGAGCTTTCAAAAACTGACTACATACAGGAAGGATTTGCGCAAATGAGTAACTATATCGACAACGAAGGGTCAAGTTTTATCAGAGGAAGAAGTTGACAAGTATGAA